CATGTTTAGTGGGACGGGGATTCGAACCCGCAATCCTCAGATTACGAGTCAAGTGCCCTAACCACCTGGCCATGCCGGGACATATTTGCCTGAGCTGGCGTCTCAGTCAATGGTTGCACAGACCTCTGTCTGACAAAGTGTTCTCTATAAATGATCTGAAATGTATGGACGACATCCTTCAACATAACGTGTGTCCATTCGCTGGTGTCATTGATAATTACTTCCCCCTAATGGAAAACAATCGGGACAGGATTGAGTAAGAATACCTTTAGTCCAATGGAATTGAAAGATTACAGTTGCCATTGATTTCTACAAGCTGAATTTCTAATTGAACAAGCTCGGTAATGGCCTGGTGGTTAGGGCGCTTGACTCGCAATCTGAGGGTCGCGGGTTCGAATTCCCGTCCCACCAAACAAACTCGTTGTATAGCATACTCAACAGCTCGAAGTGGTCATATTCCCTTTTAGTGCACATTTTAATAATGATGTACTAACGCATAATGATGTTTAATCTCATATCGTTTTTCAAACCTATGTTTCTGATTCGATGTTCGTAGTACTTATTGTAAGTGTCACTCGATGGAACAGCGGTAAGTCTTCGAATTTTCAATGTTAAAATCAACGGTTCGATTCTTCTCGATGGACACAGCAGATAGCCCGATGTGGCTTTGCTATAAGAAAACACACACACACACACGTTTATTATAAGCAAATCTTAATTTTCATTTGCAATACGTTCAGGTGTTTTCATACCGTGGTGTAATTCTATTATCGAATAACATTCAAGAATAGCTCCAACATTATAAGCACCAAAATAGAGCTAAAACTCATTGATGCAAGAGTAAAAATATATTGCAATATACTTAGCTAAGCCTAAAATTAATAACGTTGACTGCACCTTCTCATTCTTCCGTCTATCATAAAAATTAGATCATTTATTTTGTTCATATTTTTCAGAATAATTTGTTTGTTTGAAGTTAAGCACAAAGCTACACAATCCGCTATTTCCTAATGTAAACACGGTTTCTAGGGTTGTAATTCCACAGACATACCGCTGTGCTACTGGTGGTATTTTAGAATGTTTGTTTG